CATAGCGTTCGTTGATTGATTGCAAGAAGTATAATGTGTGGGTATCGAACCTGCGCCTTGCTAACTGCCTTGCCTGCTGATACACAGCATCACTGGCACTACGCTAGCGCTTGCTGCAGCGGTATCTTCGCTTGGTAAAATGTGACCGAATTCAAAAAGCTGCTCCTCTTGCGGCGCGATTAGCTCGTTCGAATCCCGATGGTTGCGATATCATGCTACGTGACTTTAAGTCGTATTGTTATTGATCCGTGACGACTCTTCTATACGGTAAAGTCGGATAATCGCTCAACTAGCCGAATTCGGTTGTATAGGCTGGCGGCAATGTGAAAGCACAGGTGGGTACTTAAGGAATGTTGTTATAATTGTTATTATTGTTATGAGGTTGAGCAGAGCCTCCTGAAAATTTTCGAAAGTTCCACTTTTTTTTGACATCCATGTGTTTTGATAGTTCCATATGTATTTATCCACCTCATTATTTTCAGCTCTAAAATGCCTATTTAATGATATGATTTGCATGTGTTGATCCATCATTGTTGAAGAAAAAAAAAAAGTTTAACTAAAAAATGGAAGGAGAAATCCATAACGTAGTATGAACGTGGATCTAATACGCATGTATTGTATAGTTTCCAAAGCCGACTGTCGATCAGCCTCGGCACAGTTGGAATTAGATCAGTAGTTTTTCTGTTGAGCAGTTCCGAGGTCTCAGTCAATAGTATTTATTGAATACTAGTTACGTTTCGGCAAGACTCGCCTTCTTTTGAGCCTAGAAAGGTCAAACTGATTCCCAAATTACTAAATCAAGAACCTCCATAACCTCAGCCGGAAACGTAAGAAACGGATTTTGGATCATATAGTAAAAAAAACACCTTTATTTCAAAAACGTCAAACTCACCACTTAGATATTTTAGGATGAGCGTTTTTTGAAATGAAGTTTTTGTTTTTCACTATGCGATCCAAAATTCGCTCCTTACGTTCCCTACTGATGCTATGGAGGTTTTTGACTGAATGATTTGCCGATCAATTTGACCTTTTCAGGCTCTGAAGAGGGCGAGTTTTGCCGAAACTTAAGCCACTACGAATATTGTTCAATTTATACTGCACTACTACTTTGTATTGTTGTATTGCATCACTAGTATTCAATATATACTATTAATTAATACCTCGGAACTGCTTAACAGAAAAAACTATTAACCTATGTATAGTTCGTCAAATCCTTGCTCAGTTTATAGAAGACGATTACGCAATTCAGATGTCAGCATGCAATACATTTTCTTTGATTATTTTCTTTTCTATCAAAATATTGTAATCATCCCTTACTCTCGACCGTTTAAATAGACCTCGCTTGTAAAAATTATGGGCTGGTGGTGCGCAGGTGGACTAGAGATGATCTAGCGATTTTATGGCTCAGTACTTCAAGGAGGTGATCATCTTTGAAATACTTTTCAAAGTTCAGCTCGGGACCTTACACTTTATTGATCTCTCTTCACAGTGTTTTTTTTCTTCACTGTGCAAACCACAGTACTTTTAGCATTCAATTCGTTTTTTCGTCTTTTTCTTGAACGTCGTAGAAAACTGCTTGAGCGAGTCTCCTTTCAACTCCGAGACTAGACTGCCTGTAGCGTTGTTGCTGACTGCAAGAGAGAGTTAAAGGGTGGAGCTCGATGCCACGCGTGTCGCGATAAGCACCACAACCACTTAGCCACAGCCCCTCGAAGTTCAGCTCAACATACGGTAATATGCTGGACATAAGTACTAGATGAATAGACGTTACAGATAAACGTTACATGAAAATTAAGGCGGCAGAGGTGGGAGAAAATCAGGATGCCTTTCCTGAAAGGCGGAAATCGCAGCGATTTTTTAATCAGCAAAGGAATCGATGTTTGACTTCGGATGTGAAGAAAGAAGAGCCAGTAGAAGGAGAGGAGAAGAACGAGGAAAAGGCAAAGTCAAGGCGATCACAGGAGATATAGTGTTCGATAAGTAACAGTAATTCATCTAATCCAGAATTATACGCAGTTTCGAGCGTATTCAGAAATTGCTATGTAAATTGCTATGACATTGACATGAATGTAGTGGGAAAATGCAAGACTCCTTATTTTTGCGGAAGAAAGTTTTGGTTTTCTGGAGACTGGCACTATATTGTCACGCTTCATATCCTTCAGTTAGTGTGGCCCTCATCAGAACTTCACGAACCACTTATAGGTCGACCAGCTATGCACCATCCTAAGCAGGCGCATAGCAGCGGTTTCAGTGTATCATTGGAACTGGGGCCAGCCGAATATGCACAGAATGTATCATGGGTAATGATTCCGTGGTTTGGACCGATAAAATTGCAGCAGTTTTCTACATCATACAGATTATCTTCAGTTCTCTCATCCGAAGGATTCGAAGTGATAGTCTTAGCATTTCTTGTGAAGAATATCACACTTCTCTCCACATAAGTGAGGCAGTAGATGTGGTTTTTCAACGTGCAGCGTTACAGTCGTGTTTTGATGAGCTAAACTCCAACTAAGGGTATCTCAAGTGATACGTACGTAACGATCACCATACAAATATATTTTCCCAGTTTTTATTTCATTTTGGCAGATACTTTTCCATGCTTATTGTGAGAATCCCTGCATTTATCACATTCAATTCATTTCCTCTCATCAATCATCCACAAAGTTCTTCCCACATCCATGTGGGTGCAGCTCTACTTGGAGAATTCTCGTTTCTCATATCGACATGCCTTTTTCAAAATCTATAGTTTACCTTCCGATTACTTCACTTTCCTCAAAGTTTGGACGTATCTGTCTAACGTAAAGTCACTTCACATGAGAGCATTCATTCGTGTTATTAAGTTGAGCAAAAAACTTCTGGGTTTTCTAGTTTCATTTTTTGACATCTTTGTGTCATTTTTACTGTAGTTTCACAAATATTAATCAGTTTCATTAATTTCAGTTCGAGATGCTTATTGAACAGTGTGATTTGCATATGTTGATCACCATTATAGGAGAAAAGTTCTGAGGATTCTTGAAGCCGCCGATGATATCAAAAGTGAGGGGACTTGCAGGGTGACAATATCGACTTTGGGTAGATGATTTAAGTGATTCAAAGATGGCAATTTTGACCTCGGAAACATACCTCTTTCTGACTGGCCATCTGTTTTTGGATGAAAGTGACTTGCAAGCCACTTTGGCTGCTGAGCCCTCATCGAGCACGCCGTTATTTGACTGAAGAGCTTGGTGTTTCGCAGATGGCAGTCCTCAACAAGTTGCATCAAAATTGACTTGTCCACAAGAAGCCTCGTCGAGAACCGCACGAGCTCTATTCGATTTTGGCTTCTTTCGATCAATGCACCACTTTCATAATAGTCGTCTATTGCAATCATTTAATAGAACATTGTCAACTGAAGAGAGACGTAATCACTGAGGATACTATAGTGATGATTGTGAACGGTTTTCGCTATGGCATCGTTAGAGAAGTGCGTGTGGCGCAATGGTTAAAGATGCTCTGCTAAACACAAATGCGGACTTGATTCCGAATCCTATGCTAGCAGGTCTTCCATTTATTACGAGCGGGTATTATATACCGAGCGTATTTTGGAGAACAATATACTTACTTCCAAAAAAGAATGATTTAAGCTCAAAAAGGGGTTGGTAGGCCAGGGTCATACACCGGTGTATGTAAATCATTCTTTTTTGGAATTATATTGAATGTTTTTTGGGGGTTTCAAAAACAGTTTGATCTTTTGAATTAGTTTTGATCTAACAGCAAAAATCTATCGACTGAGAGGTGGTGATGGTACAGTGTCATAGTACACTGTGCCATCACCACATACGCCTCCCTCCTTGCTTCAATGCAGGGCTGAATGTGGGGCGGGGGTCACTGATGAGGAGGACGAACCTCCGAAACACCGGTGTATGACCCTGGCGTACCAACCCCTTTTTGAGCTTAAATCATTCTTTTTTTGGAATTATATTGAATGTTTTTTGGGGGTTTCAAAAACAGTCGATCTTTTGAATATACTTACTTGATACATCGATAGATGTTCTTATTTCATGGCATGATCTTTTATGCAGGGGGCCCCCTCTCTTTCACTGGACATTGTGGAGAGGAATGTAGGCCGTTTCTCTCAAGGAAACGGCGTCGAACGCTTCATCCTCATTTATAAATGTTCGTATTATTTCAATGGCGCTCACATTGTGCTATTTTTTGCACGAATTTCAACGTTTGTACAAAGTTTCTATATTGTTCCGAATTCTACGCCTTCCATTTATTTGCAAGCAAACTATTGCCACTTGTTCTTAACGTAATGTAGGCCATTTTATAAGAGTGCAGTGTTCCACGTGACTTGTATGTTACTAAAATACAGATCTATTATCACTTAATAGTCAGCTGACCTCATCGTCTTAGCTCTTGATTTCTCGTATCATCGTGCGAATCGCGAGGATTTCATGTCTAAAACGTGCAAAAATGCTCCTGTCTCAAAGAAAGTTGCTTTGTTTGAGTATTATCAGTTTAAGTTGATAGCATTTATAATCCTCTAAAGAGTGTTAGTTCATTTCTCATTTGCTTCAGTTTCACATCGTGGATCTGTGGTGAACGGTGCTGTTTACGTGAGATCAGCACTCCATGGAAAAGGACACCTATCATCTCTACCTCGTATCCGCTGTGATTTCAGTAGTTGTCGCAGTCAATTTCGAACCATAACGGCGTGTAAATGGAACAGGTTCGTTTAAAATACTAATCTTCCTAGACTGGATAGTGGTCGATGACATATGTTACTATACAGATGCTTCAGAATTTTCTGTCGTTATGTAATGAACGTAAGCAAAGCTTTAAATGATAAAACAAAAGTTTTAGTCTAATAACTTGGAGTTTTTGAGTAACTGTATCAAAATATCGCCTTAAATAAAAGGGTATGCTCACCCAATCGGAAATCATCTTATTTGGCCGCCGATTGCGGTGTTATAATGTTTAAATAAACCCAGTGATCTAGAGTGGTGTGCAAAAACGTTTGCAGCGGCCGGGATTGCAACCCAGATCTTACTCTTTCTGGGAGCATGTGCTGAACCGTTGCACTACCGCAATCGGCGGCCAAATAAGATGATTTCCGATTGATTATCGAAACCCAATATCTCTCGAGAAAAACGGAAAGAGTAAGATCTGGGTTCAAATCTCGACTGACGCAAACGTTTTTGCACATAACTCTGCATCATTGGGTATGCTAGCTGCTCTGCTGCTTAACAGCATACTATCAAATAACTAGTAAACCTCGCCGATTAAATCGAACTAAAATTGAGAGACGCTTAACGTTTGCGGAAAGTGCGAGACGAAATTATAAGCTCTATCGTTATTTAATGGCGGCTTATCGAAGAAAGAGTGGTAGCAATGCGTCAGCTTTCATGGTGTAATGCTATCAGGTGCCCCTGGTATGGTTGAAACTCGGGTTCAACTCCCTTATAACTCGGATGTCTTTTTACCACTCTACTTTTTTGAATGACTTAGGGAATTGGGATAAAAAAATTACTGCCACTGTTTTTCGCATTAAGTGGACCCTCGTACCAAGATATTTTGAACCTTTCAACAGGTGTAAAATTGTTGGTATAAAGTGAAAAACGATGAAACCATAGTAGTTTTCATATGATCCAATTGCAATCATATCAATCACTCCAGAATTGTGAGAGTTGTGGGTTAAGTAAGACCTGTAACATTGCAGTGTAACTTTGTGACTTGGATAACACATAATAATGATATAGATATAAAACGGAATTTTACTAGTAGTGATACAATTCCGAAATCTGTAGAAATTCGGATTGCTAGAGCTGCATAATGGGATGATCGACAAGTACTACGCAGTTTCAAAATGTGAAATAGACCAGAATCACTCTCTCCATTACCAGGTCAACCTCATTTGCACTCCTACATCTGAAGCTGGTGAGATGCGAGTCACAATATTTCCTGAGAAACATGGTCAGTTTTTTTCAAATATTTGTTTTTAGATAAGTCTCACTTAAAATTAAATTATATCACACCAACTGTGATTTTGAGGCAATCAACTGCTTTCGAGATGTACTTAGAAAAGCAATGTGCGGAGGCTGTCGATATTTTCAGTTTTGAAGCCTTATTTTCTGACCAGTTCATTTTCAACTATAGGCATGATGTGGAATATAATCACAACAAAGCTGAACACGAGAAAAAGATGGAACCTCAGGTGGCTTTGGGTCTATCATTATGATCATTATCCTTTCGAGGTTCACCAAATAGTCACTGTACCATCGAGGCTCTCGCTATCCTTTCGCTAAGCCGTGTTTTACCCTATTCCATACCTGGAAACAAAAGGCAAAAGTGTGGTTCAAACACTTCTTCGGCTTATTCTCTTCGGTACGATATTGTTTTTCGCCTTTGCTGTTATCATTATTATTATGTTATCCTTATTACTATTACTATTATTAGTGATGATTCGAGAATGATGGTGATATGGAAAGCTCGGGACCTCAACGGGATGTGACTTTAGATGGACTCGAGTTGAATTTTTTTTTTACTCTTATCGATATGCTTGTAAACCACTATAACAGTGGGGGTAAACGCAGTTGAATGGCAGTACATGTAAACAATTCACATGAAGTTAGAGATAATTAGAGCGTAGCTGAACTTGAAGAGCAAATGTTGACCTACAATCATAGTAGTAAGGTCAAGTTAGTAAGGAAGTGATATGAGGCTAATCTGATCTTTACGGGTTTCACAACGAGCGCGGTGAAAAATTACGTGCCGATACGCCAGTGTTAATGAGAGTTTAATTATTGGTCGTAAGAGTTCTGCCCTCGAACATTGCTACAAATGATGCTGCATATTTGAGCAGAGTATTAACACAATAGCATCGTTTAATGTCGTCGTTTCCACATACTTCTATATTAGAAAGATTTCTCCTATAACCACCATGCCGGTTTTTTACAATCATGACAATATCTTGATCGATAGAGTATTTCGAAAGCATATAGCCTCGGTGATATAACAAAGAGACTACACTTCGCCACACTAATCGCATCTGCGGCCTCATGTACTTTCTTTTCATTTTCAAATATGTTCACAGTGTGACCGTATGATAATATAATAGAAACAGCTTCTTTCAAGAAATAATGCTAAGCCAACCAATGATGATGAGGCAGCAGATTGCTGAAACGTTTCAGCAACATCCACAGGGTTGATTCAACAGCCTGGAGGTGTGTGACATTTCAACATTAAGTCACTTTTGTTTGGTTAACCCTTACACGACCGTGGACCACGGCCACTGCACCTCTAAGTGGCGACTCTGAACGGTCTATCCACATTCTCTGTATCTCTAACCCTCAGCTGCCACTGTTAGACGCAGCACGCCTGGGTATCAGAGGTGCGGAGGAGGTGGAATAGACCGTGCGGATTTGCCACGCAGAGATGCAGAATGCGCGATTGGACGGTATCGGAAGGATTAATTTATTCGCTATGCGCGTAACACAATGGCGATTAGGATTGGAAGGGATCTGTCTTCTGTTTTCTCGGAAAATACCAGGGGGTACCAGTTTTTTCCGGCGAAGCTCCCACATCAATTAAACAATAGAGTGCGCCTTTTGCACTTGCTTATTCTTATCCTAGTTGCCAGTGACGTCACTGAGCTACATGAAATGTAATACAGGTGAAGTGTGACTTCAGATGCTGTCGATATGATGCTTGGAGCAGAACTGGGAATGGAGAATCAACAAATGACCGGTAAACAAAATGTGTATGATAACCCACATCTTTACACAATGATGCAGCAATGAGGATCACAACTGCAACCACAGCAACAGCACCAACAGTGGCATCACCACCAATGACACTTCCCAGGGTAGGCATTGGTCGCCCGGACGTTGGCCTTCCATGCCATCTATCCCTTTTGTTGCTTTTTAAATCATATATTACATCATTTATTTTCTTTTGACTATGGTAGTACTCTTAAGACTGCAGATCAGGCGCAGCCCTGAAAAGGACTACAATTTTGGGAGGTCGATCCACCGACTTTCTATCAAACGCCACCACTGGTGCGTTTATTTTGATTACGTTGAATATTTATAGGAATTTATAATGATTTCTGGCTTTCTTCAAGATGTAAATGTAGTGTTATATGACTCATTTGGAAGTTTTTCATTTAGTCAAGATTTATTCAATGTTCTAATGAAAATCTGTCCTTTTTTCTCTAGAATTCCGTTCTTGAATTGCGCCCATTTCGATAATCTAGTTCCACTGAATTTGCAGACACTACTTTGAAGTGTGTGTAATCCAGAACTAGCAGCACCTCTTCTCAGGTCAATTTTATTCCAGTCTCATGGTATGGCGATTCCACCAGAAATTCTTTTTTCATTGACTCGATTGTTTAATGAATCAAAAGTTCATCGATCTATCAAACAAATATATTGGTGATAAATAGTATTAGTATCAAATGGCTTGTGTAGCGCAGTGATTAGTGCTGCCTACGTTATATGGTGCTTTATTGAATTCTAGAACCTGAGTAAACAAGATTCTCCACATTTACGAGATAGGCAGATTTCTTGCACACTTGCAAGGATTAGTTTCATTGAAATTGTTCAGTTTTAAATATGTTCACAATTGAAATTTGCAAAAAGCAGCAACTTTTCTGTTTTTAAAGTTCCCAGTAGAACAGATGCTGCTGTATGGAAGGCATAAGGGACATTAGGAAACACGATCGTGTTGAACTGGACGTATCCCTGCTTATTCATTTGCTTTCGTTTTTGAAAATTGAAAATTTTTGAAAAAATGTAATAAGTGCTAAGATGGAGTTGAGGTTGTTTCGTGAAGAAATAATATTGTACGATTGATGAGGGGAAGAGTATTTATAATTGTCCATAGGCTAATTTGAACATTATGTGATCACCGTACCCTGTAGGTGAAAACAGCTCATTGGGGTCTCAGAACATCAGAATTCAACCCACCTTAAGAGACTTTGTGTGGTGTGGTATTTTGGAGAATTCAGTGCCAGAAAGTAACATAATTTCATAGCTAAAGTTATTTGTTCCTTCTTCTTGAAATCCGAGCTGGGGTTCACCTTTTCCCAGCTGAGCTCCCTTCATTAAAAGTTTTAGCCTCACATAACACTGTAAATTTTCCTTAACCCTTTTCCTCTTCCAGCACTTGGACAAAAATTATCTAAACGACTTGCATCTATTCTGTCTCTGTTGGAGGAGTTAACGAATAGTGAAACAAGTTGTCCTAATTTGTCTTTCCAGGCTCTTTTCTCCTCAGAAATGCTGGAAGCTGCTGTTATACTACATTATGCCAGCGCCAGTAGCCCTGAAATCCACAGGTTCGAAGGCCTTACTCAGCCATTTTGAAGGTGTCAAGAGAGTGCTTGAGTTGATGCTAATTCGGTTCTAGCCCGTTATCTGTAGAGCTTACTTTTGGGCACATAATGACTCCACCTTTTTTCATATGAATTTGAGCGAAGAAGGATTCTGTGGATCATAAAGTTACCTATTTAACACTTTCAGTCAATATTGTGATATTCTTTACACTGTATCACTTACTGGTGGAACTAGTATTGGGCGTCGACAATAATTTTTGCAACCAACTAACTGTGACATCACCTATAGAGCTTATTTCTGTCTAAGAATTCCTACCGTCTCCTTTACTCCACTCTGAAAATCTTTGTAACGTCTCTTTTTGGTGAAAAAATTTTAGGGTATACTTTACGCCCATCTGAATTCTCCTTAAATCTCTAAAACATTGTACAGAATTCCAAGTTTTGCTCGTATCTCTGCATTTCTATAGTTGTATTTCATTTAAATGCTGTTGCAAAATATTTTCTGGGATTACCAACGTTCCTTGTTGCCCTCCCTATCAACCTTACTTACTAATCTCTTTATTTTTTATATTTCCTAACTAATGCTCTTCATATTACCATATCGTTGTAATTGTATCCATATTGTTGTATATAAACGGTTTAATTACCAAAATGTGAAATCTCCTGTTACAATGGAAAAGGAAAAAGCGCATAACAGATAGTTAAGTGCGTATTGAGCCAGTTATAGAGCCACTTCAGAGTCTGGTACTTATTC